GGACCAAAAACGCACAGAAGCACTGTCGCAGGTTGGGTTCCCCGAAAGCAGACACCGAGGCAGACCCCGGCGTGCAGGAAGGTTCCCAAGAGAGGGCTGTTGGCTGACCTGGGCTGGGTACAGGCTGGGCACGGGGAGGCATGGGCTGCCATGCAGCCACAATGAGGCCTCACTGACCCCACAAGGGGCACTGGAGCTGGGATGGCCCTACAGGGTTTCCCAAGTTGGGTGGGGAGGCCAGCCCTTTGTACCCCATATGGAGCTGGTAAGGGTACAGGCAGGAAGGGGATGTGATCTGGGGCAGACAGGGCTCTTCAACAGGGGAAACTCCCATGAGGGCTGGCAGTAAATGGCCAGCCAGCAGCGCTCCCAGTAGTTAGGGGAGTAAGTCCTTTAGTCTGGAAAGGTCATCTGGGCAGCTGAGCTCAGCACCCAGCACTAGCACAATTACAAACTAAAGCAATGAGAGGTATATTCAACAAGTGCCGAGCCTGACAGCTCAAGTACACACACTGGCCATACAGGTAACAATGCCCAGGAAGTAGCGCGTAAGGGAATACAGTGCACTTATTACCTACAGAACTTTCTCCTCATCCCAGCTACGAGGTTATCCATCTGCACCGTCTCAGCAAGGGAATCTTGCCAATGCCACCAACACAATACCTTAGAGTGGGGACTAGCAAGCCACAGCCTGAGGGCCAAGTCCAGCCCACAGCTTGTTTTGGTGAATCAAATTACACAGCCATGACCACGATCACTCCTAGAGTAGCAGCAACAGCGAACAGCCCAAAATGCCCAAAATACTTTCTATCTGGCCCTTTACAGGAAAAGTTTGCTGACCTTGCATGAAGGGTACTTCATTCCCTTCCCTTTCTTTAACCCACTAGTAGTGTCAAAGGTTAGCTGAACTTTGAGCTAAGCTCCCAAACACTAAGGCAAAAGAGAAGAAAAAAAAAAAAAAAAACCTGGCACAAAAGGAAGTCGCTATTAAGAAGGCAAAATACAGGTTCTCTAGTAGTTGAATAGAGCAATCAAGGAACCCCGCGTCTGGCCAAATTTGGTCTTAGAGCATTCTAGACAAGGAGCCACAAGTGGTCTTTGGCAACAAATGAACATGCAGAAAAGGAATTCCGTTCCAATACTGAGCAGTCTCTGCTGCTTAAAAAGCCTTCTGAGAAGAGGACAGAAGAAAAAGCTACTTAGTTTGCCCAAAGCTAAACGTGTGTCCTAAATTAACAGGACACAAGACTACTTTTCAATTCTCTTTTGTAATAATTATGAGTGCCAATGCATTCAAAACAGTAGTCTGCAATACACCCAAATCAGTAGCAGGTGGTTTATATTACATGCTATTAATGGGAATAGCAGAAAATACTGAAGGGTAAAATGTTAAAAAAAAAAAAAAAAAGAGAGAGAGAGAGAGAGATGTGCCATGTTAGGGGGAAAGTGGGAATGCTAAGCCAAACAACTAAAGTATTTCAAAAGCCAGGTTTCACCCATGAAAGCAACACTGAAAAAGAAAAATCGGCTGTGCAAGTCCCTTCCAAAGGGACCACCATGGGCCTTGCTGGACTGTCATATTTGTGATGGCTGACGTGGACTGCCCTGGACTCATTACTATTCACATAATTCTTAGAAAATCAGTGGAAGCAATGTTAAAAAGTAATATTTAAGTATTCAAACCAATTTTGTTTGCTTTACAAAATGATTTTTTAAATGGTTGAAAACAGATTCATTTCCCTTGTACCAATATGCTTTCATCAGTGTGCACACCAGAGAACAAAATGCCCAGTGCAGTGTGCCAGATCCCAAAGAGTCATGACAGGCTGGGCGCAGTGGCTCACGCCTGCAATCCCAACACCTTGGGAGGCTGAGGCAGGTGGATCACCTGAGGTCAGGAGTTTAAGACCAGCCTGGCCAACAGGGTGAAACCCCGTCTCCACTAAAAATACAAAAAATTAGTTGGGCATGGTAGCGGGTGCCTGTAATCCCAGCTACTCAGGAAGCTGAGGCAGGAGAATCGCTTGAACCCGGGAGGCAGAGGTCGCAGACAGCCAAGATTGCGTCGCTGCACTCCAGCCTGGGCAACATGAGCAAAACTCCATCTCAAATAAAAGAGTCATGACAAGGCCAGGCGCAGTTTAAGACCAGCCTGGCCAACATAGTGAAACCCCCTCTCTACAAAAATTAGCAGGGCGTGGTGGCGTGCACCAGTAGTCCCAGCTACCTGGAAGGCTGAGACACAATAATTGCTTGAACCTGGGAGGCAGAAGTTTCAGTGAGCCAAGATTGCACCACTGTGCTCCAGTGTGGGCAACAGAGCGAGACTGTCTCAAAAAAAAAAAAAAAAAAAAGTCATGACAGTGACAAGTTAAAATCTGTTCCAACTAAGCATAGATAAGGATTAATAATAAAGTGGGATGTGCTGCCGTCCTTCACATGGGGATGGACTGTGCTCAGCCCCGTTACCGCCACGACATGGGTCTACAGTCTGCAAGGTACACAGTCAGCGAGCCTTGGTGGCCCAGATGCCCGGCTTCTGCCACACGAGAGATCTTTTTTTTTTTTTTGAGACAGAGTCTCACTCTTTCACATAGGTTGGAGTGCAGTGGCACAATCTCCGCTCACTGCAACCGCCACCTACCAGATTCAATCAATTCTCTGCCTCAGCCTCCTGGGATTATGGTGCCTGCCACCACATCCAGCTAATTTTTGTATTTTTAGTAGAGATGAGGTTTCATCATCTTGGCCAGGCTGGTCTTGAACTCCTGACCTCATGACCCACCCACCTCGGTCTCCCAAAGTGCTGGGATATAGGCTTGAGCCACCATGCCTGGCCCACAAGGGAGATCTCAACACTGCCAAGCTCAATGGCACAGAGACTAAAATTCTTCTAAATGGGAATAATTGCAAAACTCATTATTCATACCCAGAAAATGTTTTTCTCCTCCAAAGCCTAGGTCACCTAACCTAAACACTCATGAAAACAGGTTTTAAAAATAGTTCTACTTCATTCTTGAGTAAACAAAACACCCTATCACTGGCACCTGGTAGGTAACCAATGAATATCTGATTAGATAAAAACCAAGAATTATTTTTAAGCCACACCTACTTCCTCGATCTGCTTCTCCAAAGCAGAAACTTGAAGCCAAGAGCACCAGCGCATTCTTTTAGAACCCCAGCACCCAGCAGTTCTGGGCACAACACACACCCATTAAATGTCAGCCTTCAGTACACCCGGATGGTGAAAACACATAGAAGCAAGCAAACAATAAACAAAATGCCTATCCTGTTCCAAAAACAGAACATGCTACTGTGCCTGTGTTTATAATAAAATGTAGAAGAAAAGATGGGGGAAAACCTTATTGGATTTAAAGGGTCACCTTCACCATTATAGTTAAATACAGCAAAATATCACAAGTACATCCCAACTGTAACAAGCAGCATTACAAAGGATGCCATGTAACTCATTAAGTTTCTGCCATCTGGCAAGGCGCCCATGGAATGCCAGGCTCGCATTTTGTCAATAGATGGTTACAAACATTTATCACAATAAAAATGTTGAAGCAGCAAGCACTCTCCACAAGCTCCCCTCACGTTCCTGTCATCCTTTAAATAATATATGCACGTTGCCGCAAAAGCTTAAAATGAGTGTTTGCAATACTAGATCAGGCTAATCTGAACAGAAGTATTTATACAGCCTATGCAATTAAAATAGTATTAGCAGCATCATAATAGCAGACATTCCCATAGCACTCAAAGAGTGTGGTAAATACGCACTTTACGTTGAAGGATACTACAAATGCAGATGCAATTAAGGATTCCTCCCTCCAACAAAAGAAATAATATACACCATTTGCACTGCCCTCAGAAAGAAGTAAGAAAAGCTTGGTTAGCTAGGTCATATCTATTTCCTGGCTTCAATGTCCTTCGCCCTTTCCCATCTTAGACATGTAAAAGACCAAAAAAAAACCCTGCACAAACTCCCAAATAGCCACACAAACACCGCAGGAGAGAAATCTAAGAGAAGGCTGGAGATGGTTAAGTTGCGATGGCCACCTTCCTTCTCCTCTGGCCAATCCAAGCACCTCTCAGTTGATAACTCGGAGAGAAGCAGGGGTCTCATTTGTTTCCATCTAGACAAGGACTGTTTCTGGTAAATTCCATGTTTTAACAAGATTCCAATTCAACCGAGTGGGTGCCGTGGCATAGCACTTCATTACAAAGATGCTTTTTCCTGGTTCATTTTCTTCCCTTCCATGAACACATGAAACCAACCTGGTGGTGTGTTCAGGTTTTACATGCTCCTGGGAGACCGACCACAAATGTTCTGGTTCTTCAAACCCACTCATTTCTTGCAATCTTGTTCTCTGGAAGGCTGTTCCGCTAACTAGAAGGCGATTTTGACCAGAGCTCTCATCTCCTCTCTCCTGCCCACCTCCCTGCTGGGAAGGACACAGGAACCACATACTGAGGACTAGAAGGTCCAGGAGCTGCAGCTTCTCTTGTTCTTTCTCACATAAGTCCTTCCAGGGAGGCTGTGTTCTCTTTGATGAGAGGTGCCAGAATGTCAAAGCCTTAGTATCAAATGATTTGGGAACTGGCAGCCACTGGAGGTCGGGGGGCCTCTCTGCAACTCACAGCAGCATTTTGCCACTGCGGAGTCCACTGAATCAGCCTTCTGGAAACAGTTCATCTTTGCCCGTCACTGCGCCCCTGCAGCCCTCAATGCACTGCCCATACACGTTCAAGAAATGTTCCACGGAGGAGTCAAGAAGTGTTTCAAGCTTGACCTGCTGGGATACAGAGATGGCATCCAGTGGGCTCACCCATCCCAGAAAACCTGATGTCAGTTTCAGGACCTCTGTAAACAAAAAGGCGAAAACAGAGTTCCAATGTGAAGCCTGCCTTTCAGCCCTGCACGGCTGGGAAGGCCAGAGGGGTCGGCAGCTAGCTCCCATCTTAACCATCGGGAGAATTATTCTACATAAGGTACAAAATAAATATCAAAAGGCGTATCTGTATCTTTTCCAAACGCAATACGCAAGACTCACACGACGTCAACCCCGTCATGCCTGCCAATCAGGGGTCGTCAGTTTCTGGCTTTTGCCCCAGGGGGCCCTCAGCTACTTGGCCTGGGCCTCCTGCAGGAGAGGGGCTCTGAAGGTGGGGGGCCTTTCTGACCAGGCGGGCAGTTCATGCTGCAGTGGAGTCCTCCGGGGGTAGAAAGTGTGGCTGACGTCATAGTTCAGAAGGCAGCTCAGAGACGCCATGTAGATGTCAGCGAAGCGTGACAGGCGCCTCAGGAAGTAGGTTGGGTTCTGGTCTGTGCGGAACAGGCTTCCAAACTGGGCATTGAAGAAACTCTTGGTCATTTCTCTGAAGGGGCAATAAAAAAGCAAAGCAACAGAGAATGATTCAAAAGGGCTTGTTTTTAAACTACTGAAATCAAAATCACTTAAAAAAAAAAAAAGACTCGTTTGAGAAAAAAGTTAGCCTAGAACAGCCCCAATTCTAATTAAGGAAACTGTCTAGGACCAGGTGCGGTGGCTCGTATCTGTAATCCCAGGACTTTAGGAGGCTGAGGCAGGCGGATCACTTGAAGCCAGGAGTTCGAGACCAGCCTGGCCAACATGGTGAAACCCCGTCTCCACTAAAAGTACAAAAAGTAGCCAGGCCTATAATCCCAGCTACCCAGGAGGCTGAGGCACGAGAATCGCTTGAACCAGGAAAGTGAAGGGTGCAGTGAGCAGAGATCGTGCCACTGCATTCCAGCATGGGCGACAGAGCCAGACTCCATCTCAAAAACACAAAAACAAAAACAGTCCAGGCCAGGCACGGCAGGTGGACTTGAACACTAGATCACCAGCATGAGTAACCTAGTGAGACCTTGTCTCTACAAAAATACAAAAAAATTGGCCAGGCATGGTGGCGTGTGTCTATAGTTCTAGCTACTCAGGAGGGCGAGGTAGGAGAATCGCTTGAGCCTGTGTGGTTCAGGCTGCAGAGAGCTGTGCATTGCACTCCAGCCTGGGTGACAGAATGAGACCCTATCTCAAGAAAAAGAAAAAGAAAAAAAGAGGGATGGAAGGTGTGGGGGAGAGGGGAGAGGAGGAAGAAAGTCAGTCAGCCAGTCAGCATATCTATCCATCCATCAAAATGATTCTGGTCACATTTCCCTCTTAACTGTCTCAAGGCTCCAGATTCTTGTGCACACTTCTCTACATACACACACCCCATCTCCCAAACCTAAACATCGGATGCAGCAGCTGCTCCCGACGGTACACAGAGGAATACAGAATGTTCTCAGGAGTCTCAACTTCCCTTACAGAAAGGATCAAAGACCCCCTGTTCTACAAGGTTATTATGAGAACTAAGGTAAGCGAAATAAAAGTATGTTGTAAACTCTCAAGTGCTCAGCTGTCTGAGGAATTAAGGATTGTTTTGACTTTTGTGTGATGTAAATGTCCCCCATCCATTACACACTTCAGGGCCTCCTGGCCTCCTCAAAGGTGAGGCTGCTCACCCTGTCCAAGACCCATAAGCCCCTGCAGTCATCCTTACGTGCACGTATGTCTTTACCAACATCTCTATCCTGTGTATACAGGAGAGGCACACTCTCTGATGGCTGGGACCCTACATACAGAGTATTCCAACAAAACGAAGGAATACTATTTGACTGTTAATAAGTCATTTACCAACACAGCAAAAAATATAGTCATTTACACAACTGTGTGATAAAAGCCACTGGTTGGTAGCAGTTAGAATAAGACTCAAGACAGCCAACACCCTGAGAGTGAGGAGGACGAACTAAATGCAATACAGTCCTGGCTTCTGCAGAATCTGAGGAATGGACTCTTTGTCCCCTCTCCATGCCCTGTCCCCACCCACGCACACCACCACATGCAACCTCAGGTCAGGCTGTCCACTGCTGAGAGGGCAGAATCCCACAGCTACCACTGTTTCCAAGACTCAGAGACAGCTGGAGCCAGCGGCTGGAAAAGGCCATGTGCAAAGTCAGAAAAGTTCATGCAAATGATGTCAACACAGAAAGCATCCGTCTAGGGAAGCATGATAGTCAGTAAGGGTTCCCTTAAGACAGACACCCACCAGAATTTTCTCACAGCAGACAGGCTTTCTTTACCAGTTAACATCCTGCTTATCGATGGCACATTCTTGCAATAGTTGTGGTTACAAATAAGCACGAGGGTCTAGGAGCCCTAAGGATTCACTGTGGGTTCAGAGCCCAAATCCAGCACTGCCCCAATAGCCACATTGTGCCGCCAGCATTATTAACAGCTGGGCCACCAGCTGCCCAGACGGGAAGGTCAGGCAGGCAAGGAGGATGCATGAGATGAAAAGGCTCCCTTCTCCCAAGGCCCAGCAAGGGGTGATAGCTGCCCTCAAGGAATGTCACATGTCACCAACAGCAGGTAGCTGATTCTGAATCCTGGGGGAGGCAGATACACCTGGAGCTAAAAAAAGCGGTTTTAAGATTATGCCTCAGGCTGGCCTTGGGGGACTTGTGCAGGCCCAGCACAGCCACAACAGGGTGGTGGACTCGCCACATTCAACACAGGCCACTCTTACCTCATCTCCTTCCTTTCCTTTTTCCACTCCTGCAAAACCAGCTGTGACTCGGCATCTCTGTGAACCTGCAAGATGCAAGCTAATTATTACAACTGTTTTGATTTCAAATAAGTTTATTAGGTAATGAAAATTTTTTAATTAGTAGCTTTCCTAGGAGAAATTTTATTCCTTTATATCTCAAAGGTTGGCACCTGCATGAAATCATACATTTTTCAGACTTTCCAGTTGACACCCTGCCTTCTTCATTAATGAAAAAGAGTTTTAAATGTCCCACATTAGAAATGTGGTTTAACAAATTAAGATGAAATATTAGGAAGTTATTAAATTGAGTAAAGACTACATATAAACATAATGCATGCATATATTCACATATGCATAAAACATGTAGGTGATATATACATGTGTACAAACTGTAATGTACATATACCTAGGACATGTTACCTATTATACATATTATATACATGTGTACAAACATTATTACGTGGAAATAGCATATATATCCACTAACTGCAAGTGTCAAAGTATGTGCCTGCATTTGGCAATTAACATAAAAATTTGTTTTAATTTGTACAAGGGTAGTAGGATTATAAACAAATTGAACTTTTTAATTTAATATTATATTCTGGAAAAGGCAAGAAGGTAGAGCACCTCAATGAGAAGGAAAAGCAGAGCATTTTCTACTGGGCTGAAATATGAGTGAAAGGCCAAAAGAAAATGCCAATTGCCCATGATCTAACACGTGGAATCTCACAGGTCTCCCAGCAAGGTTCTTGTGGCTAAACAGAAACACTGAGGCCAGAATCCAAGGTGCACATGATCGCAGGGAACAGGAGGGCTCCCTGCAATTCATGACCACAGGGGTAACCTTAGAACCTGGAGAAATACCAAGCGGGCAAACCATCTGCTTTTGACACGGGGGCAAAGAACCCTCTGTTTATCACATCTGCTCAGTTCAACAGCTTGACTCTGAACCCCGAGGCTGCTGAAGGGACATGCAAGGGAAAAAGGCCCCAGGAATTGGAGGCCAGGGATGCATGCCCGGAAAGGGACCCTGAGTGCCACCTTCACTCAGCTGCCCTTGGGGCCTTACCTCCCAGGGAACACCCAGCAGCTGCCTGGGGCGCCTCCCAGCTGTCCTGCCACCTCTCCCACCATTTGTCAGCTCTCTCATGGGAACAACCCTCTCGCCTGCATCCTTCCCATCAGCTGTCAAACATCCTCTAGTCTCTCCCATTAAAAAAAGATTTCTCCCTGTGCCCACCCCCTTCTCCAGCTCTGTCCCCCTACAAGGTCAAACTCCATAAAACAAGAACTTCTGGTTCTGAAACCCACTTTAAAATATTTCAAAGACTGTGTGTGTTCATTAGTTACCACTAATCTTTCAAGTGAAATCATGCACTCTAGAGTGGGTCATCAACACTGGAAAAACTAACCAAAGCCCCCACAGAGAATGATCCTACAGGCACTTCAGCCATCTCCACCTCCAGTGGTTGTTCATGGGCGTAATCAGCTCTTCACAGCAAAACAGATTGGCTGCGTATCTCTCCCCTTGCTTGAGAAATATATTACAATCTAGCCAGCACAACAGCCTACGTCAGTCCAGCCACCAGCCCATTTTTTTAATCAACCTACGAGCTCACAAATGGGTTTTTCTTTTTCAATCGTTGGGGGAAAGAAAATCAAAAGAAGAATAATTTTATGACAGGCCGGGTGTGGTAGCTCATGTCTGTAATCCCAGCATTTGGGGAGGCTGAGGCAGGTGGATCACTTGAGGCCAGGAGTTCAAGACCAGGTTGGACAACATGGTGAAACCCCATTTCTTCAAAAATACAAGAATTAGCTGGGCATGGTGATGCACACTTGTAATCCTAGCTACTCAGGAGGCTGAGGCACAAGAATCACTTGAGCCCGGGGGGCGGAGGCTGCTGTGAGCCAAAATCACACCACTGCACTCCAGCCTGGGCAACAGAGCGAGACTCTGTCTCAGAAGAAAAAGACAGACATTCATGACATGTAAAAATTAGACGCAAGTCAAATTTCAGCGCCCACCAATAAAGCTTACTGGGACACAGCTAGAACCATTCATTCACATATTGTCCCCGGCTGCTTTTGTGTTCCAAGTGCAGAGGTGAGTAGCTGCAGCAGAACCTACAGCCTGCACAGCCTAAAATATTTACCATGTGGCCCTCTGCAGAAGCTTGCTGACCTGTGGTCTAAATGTGGCCTCTGACTGATTGGTTACCTGAGCCTGCACAGCCTAAAATATTTACCATGTGGCCCTTTGCAGAAGCTTGCTGAACCGTGGTCAAAATGTGGCCTCTGACTGGTTGGTCACCTGAGAAGTGTCTACCAATGCCAGCACCACCACTGTGAACCACAGCCATTTTGGAATGCACCTCAAGACTAGCTTACCAAATCATAACCAAAATTTATGTACTTCCATTCTATCTCATTCATTAGATTTGCCTCCAAATGACACTCTGTGAGGTCAGGAGTTTGAGACCAGCCTAGCCAACATGGTGAAACCCTGTCTCTACTAAAAATACAAAATTAGCTGGGTGTGGTGGCACACGCCTGTAGTCCCAGCTACTCGGGAGGCTGAGAGAGGAGAAGTGCTTGAACCTGGGAGGTAGAGGCTACAATGAGCCAACATCACGCCACTGCACTCCAGCCTGGGTGACAGAGCAAGACTCCGTCTCAAAAGGGAAAAAAAAAAAACATCAAACAAATGACACTCTGCTGGTTCTGAAAAAATCAAACCCAATCTCAGAGGACCAATTTTTCTCCTCAGAAAACTGTCCAAATACTGTGCTACATGCTCTGAAAACAATCCCCAAGGGGAGTTCTAGAAACATCTGCCACAGGCTCAGTGGAATACCTTGTTAACTTTCTGAAGGAACACTGAGGAAGAGGGAGACAGGGAGCTGGGACATTCATGCAGATGTTTCTTTAGTTAGCAGCTATACACCTCTATATCCTAGTGAGTCCAACTTGGAAGAACTCTGTACAAAGTGCCAGAACCCAAGGCAACACAGGTGCGTGCGTGGAGCCTACAGCTCCAGAGTCGGGCTGCCGCCGTGTAAACGCCAGCATCACCCCTCCCTAGACAATGTAGAGCTCCTCTGTTCCTCAGGGTCTTCATCAATAAAATGGGAGTGATGTTTCAGGACCTACTTCAAAGAGTTACTGTGAAAATGAAACGGACTTAAAGGTCACGGTGTCCAGAACACAGTAAGTTCTTAGGACATTTCCACACAGCCTGAATCTGCCAACCGAGAACCATGACTCTGGAAAAGTTACGTGTCTCGCAGTCTGTTTTCTCTCCTGTGAAATCGGGTTGACTATGTAAACATTCATTCCCTTTTCTTCCTTCCCTCACCCTATGCCTTGTATAACTAATTTTACAAATCACAGAAATACTTCCAGCACTTCCATTCTCTAAAACATACATACCTTCATCATCAACTTTTTACACGGGTCATAAAAACAAAAGGAAACCCCCCAAAAAATTGTTCCCAAAGCTAACATGTAGTGATGCCATCTACATGCAGCTGTGTGTGTACATATGACCAGCGGCCGGGGTCACAGAGACTTCACTGAGGGTGTCAAGTCCTTGCCTGCACCCCAGCCCTCTAACCAGGGAGGCATATTAGAGCAGTGCTCCGAAGCATGGACCTGAGGCCCATGCAGGCCTCGGTTCAAGCTTTACCCTGTCATTTTACGATCTCAGACATAAATGGTACCTGACCTCGCAAAACCCGTTTCCTTATTCTAAAATGGGAAAATTGTACCTACCAGCATGGGACTGCTAAATGAGCAATGTGTATAAAGCCAGCACTCTGCACAGTGTCTGGCACATAAAAAGTAACTATTAGTAGTGTATGACATACATACACAGACTCTCAATTACATTAAGTCAGAATTGATGCCATATATTTTTAGAAAATCATCTCACAGACAAGCATAGCAAAGGAAACAATAAATCCTCATCAGAGAAGAGCCAAGAACTAATGGAGCCCAGTGCATTCTGGAAACAAGGCCCAGGGAGACGTGCAGAGCCCCATGCTCTGGAATGCATGCACCTGGAGCCAGATTCTGGCCTGCCACTCACAGCCCTGCCTGATCTCACTGCTCAGCCACCCCAACACGGAGTGTCAGCTGGGGCAGGCAAGGCAGTTCCCTGCCCATTTCCAAAGCCAGAGGGCAGGCATGGGCAACAGGCCACAGGTTGCAGGTGTGTTTGCCAAGAGAGCAAGCATCTGTGCCCTTATCCTAAAAATGTCAGCACCCATGCTGAGATGGCTGCAGCCCAGGCAAGCTGGGCCCAGGGAGAAAGCAAGGTGCCTCAAGGAACTGGAAAGGAAAGGGGCACATGGAGAATTAAGGGGATAGGGCAGCAAAAGAGAGGCAGTTTCTATGGGCCAGGAAATGACTGATAAAACTGCCATTCCTCACTAACCAGCCAAAACTGGCTGCCTAACTTAACACAAAGAAGTAACTGCCAGGGAACTCCAGTAAGCCAGCAAACTGCAGGTATTATCCTCAAAATCAACTGAGGCTGGACCCCAGGATCTTGACTCTTGCTTTGAGACTCTCTTCAGTAAGCCATGGAGCCTAGACTGAAGTGTTCCATCCACAGGGCCCTTTATGTCACAGATGGGGAAACTGAGGCCTGAAATGGAGAAGTCCCTCTGTGGCAGGGGCAGGCAAAACCAACACAGACTCAAGCACTGGCAGGGCTTCCTGAATCTCAGTACCCCACAGGAGAGCTCCCCACGGGCTTCAGTGTGGAAGTGAGCACAGTGGATCTTCACTGACAGAGGAATGTGAGCCAACACCTGTATTTACACAGGCCCCACAGAGACTCTCTAAGCAAAAGAACCCCAGTCGTTATTCCACAGTCTACTGAAAACAACTTAAGCCTCATACTTTACAACGATTAAGCAGAAAATACCAGAAGCAACTTTGTAACCTCAGGCTTAAAGAAACAGTGAGAAGGAAAAAAACAAAAATCCCAACCTGCATCTGTTCCAATAACCCAGTCAAGGTCTGCAGCCAGGCCACGGTTTGAATGTACTGTTCCGTGTTCATGATTCTGAGCTCAGATCTCAACTCCGGGATGATCGCACCAGTCCTCCAGCCGTGCTTTAGGGTCAAATCCTGATCACAGAAATCACAAAAAGTCAACAGTCTCAACAGAATCTACACTACGTCATTATCTTCCCAGACATGAGAGGCATTCATTTAACGACTTTTTGATGGTAATGGTTCGTTATTAACCAAGCTGAATTCAATGAATTACATTTAATTAAAACTAATTTGGCCCCAGCCTTCAATCATTTCATCCCAAGAAAGTTTCTGTTCTGGAAATAATTGCTGTGAGTCATATCCCCTGCAAAAACACCAGGTCTGGAATCATTAACCGTGGTCTCTTAAAAAGAAAAAGAAAATAAAAAATGAGGTCGGGGTGGGAAGGGGCTTGACCTAACCCTACCAAAGGTCTTCATTCAATTCATCCACAGACCTCTGTGTGCCAGGCCCTCTGGGTTATGGAGAACCATGGAATCTCAGACTTGGAATGATCACATACAACATAAGCATGCATGATCAAATTTTCCATTCAAAATGTTGTAACCCCCTATTTAACAGGCCAGAATATCTAGTATCAGCTATGTCCTGGAAAATCTAAGACATACAATCATCATACTAAATGGTCATTTTCTCACTTGGCAAATACTCTTCAAGCAATACTATCTGTCGGCCCTAAATACTGAAGATAAAACAAGGAACAAAAAACTGAGAAATCCCAGCCCTCATGAAAAATACAGACAACAAATAAGCAAGTAAAATACACAATGGCAGGTGGGGATAAGTACAAGGGACAAAAATCAAGCAGAATAACAGGAAAAGGAGAGGAAGCAAGGAGGTTTGCATTTTATACAGGGTAGTTAGGAAGACCAGACTAATACAAGGACAAGGTGGGGAGAGTATGCGAATATGTGGGAGCAGGGAGATTCTGGCTGAAGAACAGCCAGTGCAAAGGCCCCGGGGCAGGAACACGCTGGAGGGTGGCATGTTAAGAATCAACAAGTCAGGGAACCTACAGGAGACAAAAGAGAGGGCAGAAGCAGAGGGTATCTTCAGAGAAGTGGGCTGAGGAAGGGGAAATCCACTGGGCAACCCTAGGCATCCAGTGCACAACCATGGGAACTCAGGCTTTTACTCTGAGGGAGAAAGAAAGGCTTTCGGGTTTTAAGGGAAGAAGTGGTATCTGATTTACAGTTTTAAAGGCTCAGTCTGGCTACTCACCTGAAGCTAGAATCCTAAGCCCTATCTAAGAGCGTAAGAGGGCTGAGGATGCCCATCTTCTTCACTGGTTCAAAATTTCTTTTCTGTTTTTTTGTTGTTGTTGTTGTTTTGAAACAGGGTCTCAACTCTGTCGCATGGGCTGGAGTGCAATGGCGCAATCTCAGCTCACTGCAGTTTCTGCCTCCGAGGTTCAAGTGATTCTCCTGCCTCAGCCTCCCCAGTAGCTGGGATTACAGGCGTGTGCCACCAAGCCCAGCTAATTTTTGTATTTTCAGTAGAGACAGAGTTTCACAGTGTTGCCCGGGCTGGTCTCAAACTCCTGAGCTCAAGTAATCCACCTGCCTCGACCTCCCGAAGTGCTAGAATTACAGGTGTGAGCCATTACGCCCAGCCCACTGGTTCGGTTTCTTGAAGACTTTGAATTATTTCTTTCTCCCATAATACATGAAAACCTACAGCACATTCTTTTCAATATTCCCAATGGTGGTAAACTTTCAAAGGTGGACTTTATTTATGTTTTTTGATGCACTGATAAAAGGAAAAAGAACAATGGCATTTATTTCTTAATATTTAAATGGAAAGATTATTCTGATAAACTCTTCGGGTGAACTGTTTATTCCCATCATTTCCAAAAAATATTTATCTTTTTCATAGCTATGATCCATTCTGTTCTGGAAAAAGAAATGAGACATTAAAAAAATGCAGCCTACTTCTAGGTTTTATGAAAGCATAAAGATGGCCTTAAGTAAAAGACACATTCTTTAACAAGTGAGACTAACACATTTGTCCCCCAACAAAGGAAAAAAGGGCCCCTCACCGCCAAGTCACTGTATATATGGTCACCAAAATACAACACTCTGGATCCTCTCCATCCAGTAAGCTTCAAAAACTCATATAAATTACCCTGCAATCAGAGAAAACTACAGTTATTACACTACAGATAGCCTATCTAACCCACAGTACAAAATATTTTTTAAAAACTTTAAAAATTGTATTTGTTTTTATAACTTATTTTAAATATCCAAAGTTATAAAATATAAAGATTTTATATATAAAGATAAAGATAAAATATAAAGATAAAAGCACTTCCATCAGAAATCTTTTCTCTATGTCAAACATGCTGTTCAAGAAGGATTCATATTGTGTACACTTCTTTGTAACTACTTTCCTACACTTAACACACTGTAGTCATCTTTCCATGTCAATAAATACTAACCTACCAGGTAAGGATAGCAGCTGGGAAGCACCATGATTCATTTCACCAACTCCCTGATGTTGTACAGTTCACATTATCTATTTGGTAAGAAACTTCATGATAAACATTCTCATAGCCAAGTTGTATTAGCTGTATCTTAATACTTTTCTTAGGCTAACATCCTAGAAGTAAAATGGCTCTATCAAAGTTGTTTTTCTCAAGGCCTTGAAAATATACTCATTGCCAAATCCAGCAGATTGTTAATACCCATCAAGAATGTATTAATATTTTTTAAAATGAACCTTAGTAATATAAGAATGGTCAGCAACACAAATTCATTTGAAAGCCTCTTATGACACCAAACATTTGAAAGTCTCTTATGACACCAAAATACATTAAAACTGTGCACAGGTCAGGTGTGATGGCTCATGCCTGTAATCCCAGCACTTTGGGAGGCCAAGATGGCAGGACGGCTTGAGCCCAAGAGTTCAAGACCAGCTTGGGCAACATGGCAAGACCCTGTCTCTACAAAACAATAAAAATTTTAAATTAGCTGGGCATAGTGGTGGATGCCTGTGATCCCAGCCACTTGGGAGGCTCAGGTGGGAGAATCGCTTGAGTCCAGGAGGTTGAGGCCACAGTGAGTGATGTTCATGCCACTACACTCCAGTCTGGGCAACAGGGCGAGACCTTGTCTCAATACAAACTGGAAAAGAAAAAAAAAGCGAGGCATGGTGGCTCACACCTATAAATCTCAACACTCTGGGAGGCTGAGGTGGGCGGATCACGAGAGTAGAAGATCAAGACCATCCTGGGCAACGTGGTGAAACCTGGTCTCTTCTAAAAATACAAAAATTAGCTGGGCGTGGTGGCGGGTGCCTGTAATCCCAGCTACTCGGGAGGTTGAGGCAGGAGAATCACTTGAACCAGGGAGTTGGAGGTTGCAGTGAGCCGAGATGGCACCACTGCACTCCAGCCTGGTGACAGAGCAAGATTCCTTCTTAAAAAAAAAAAACCCACAAAACTGTGTACAAAACATGTTTTGTCAGAAAATAGTAATTTGAGTGAATAATATGCCATGAATAAGTGTTCCTTAAAGAGAAATTTCCAATTTTTACCACTGGCAACTTAAATGTCATACATTATGAAAGTAATGCCTTAAGATTTTTGTTTTTAAAAAATGTTCAATTTTGAGTTAGTTTAGATGCTAGCATATTGAAAATATATTGACTTAAACCTAAGTTTACCACCAAGTTATAGTCAGTCAGTTCATGGGAATCACTCAGAACTGTGCCAGGCACATAGTAAGCCACAATGAACATCAGCTGTTAGCATTATTACCAACCGCAAAGCAAACAACAAAAAGGAGAAGCTGGTCATGAGATACCTGCTTGTAAATCTGGCCTTTCTGCAACTTGTGAATTTTATCCCAGAGTAAGACGCCTTTCTCATTCATCTTTCGGAAAGGCCTATCAAGAAAAATGGGGAATATTATGACATGGCATAGTACAGGCAATCCACTCTATGAAATACTAGAGTTACGATCACAGGAAGTAGCTCCCTGCAAAAACCCCAAAAAACCCGGAAACTGAAACTCTACCACCACATTCCCCGGCCTAATTCAATACATTATGTGAAGCCCAGGATCCAAAGATGTTTCATGAAAAATGAATTCCAGGGGGCCAGGCACAGTAGCTCACACCTGTAATCCCAGCACTCTGGGAGGCCAAGGCAGGTGCATCACCTGAGGTTAGGAGTTTAAGACCAGCCTGGCCAACATGATGAAACCCCATCTCTACTAAAAACACAAACACTGCAAGCGTGGTGGCAGGCACCTATAATCTGAGCTACTCCAGAGGCTGAGGCAGGAGAATCACTTGAACCCAGGAGGCAAAGGTTGCAGTGAGCAGAGACTGTGCCACTGCACTTCAGCCTGGGCAACAAGGGTGACTCCATCTCAAAAAATAAATAAATAAAATTCCAGGGTCATATAAATTTGGAAAATACCAGGCATTAAATATGTCCCTCTTAAAAAGTTGTTGATGGCTCTGAAAAGCCCTGCTGTAATAAATTTTCTTTCACCCAGGTTTCCCCGGTCTATTTGACCATGCAGAAAACCTCTTTATAAAGAAAAGTTTACGGAAATACTGCCTTCGTATATTTATCTGGCTTTATACCTGAAATTAAGCCACTCTGGATAAAAAACAAATCAGAAGACCAGAAGCACTAGTTTATAATGGAAACTGAGAAGTAAGGATAATGCCTCATTCTTCATTCACCCTGAGGGTGCTAGCCCAAAGGACTCAGAGTTTGTTAGCCTTAAGGAAAAAACAAGCGTTACCAAAAAAAAAAAAAAAAGATGATTTTTTTGCCTAATCATAATGCAGAAAAATATAATAAGAAAAGTAAGCAACCCAGAATTCTAGTACCCACCAGGGATATACACTTAACATTTCAGTTCATGTTTCAGTCTTTTTATAAAATTTATCTTTCTTTCATGACTATAAAATGAGGATCACTTTGTGTATACTAATTTATATCCTTTTTCTCTAATATTGTAAGCAATTTCCCAAGTGATTACATATTCTTAAATACATCATGTTTTACAGTAGTAAAACATCTTCATTTTTTTTTTTCAAATATTTATTTACTTACTTATTTAGGAAAGAGGGTCTTACTCTGTTGCCCAGGCTGAAGTGCAGTGGCACAATCACGGCTCACTACAGTCTCGACCTCCCGGGCTCACATGACACTCCCACCTGAGTCTCTCGAATAGCTGGGACTACAAGCATGCACCACCATACCTGGCTAATTTTTTTTTGTTTTTCTTTGGGTTTCAGGGAGAGTCTCACTCTGTCACCCAGGCTAGAGTGCAGCGGTGCAATCTTGGCTCACTGCAACCTCTGCCTTCTGGGTTCAAGCGATTCTCCTGCCTCAGCCTCCTGAGTAGCTGGGATTACAGGCACGTGCCACTACACCTAGCTAATTTTTGTTATTTTTAGTAGAGATGGAATTTCACCACATTGGCCAGGCCGGTCTTGAACTCCTGATTTCAGGTGATCTGCAGGCCTTGGCCTCCCAAACTGCTGGGATCACAGACGTGACCAGCTAATTTTTAAATTATTTGTAGAGACAAGGTCTCCCTATGTTGCCCTGGGTGGTCTCAAACTTCTGGGCTCAAGGAATCCTCTGGCCTAAGCCTCCCAAAGTGCTGGGATTATAGGTGTGAATGACGGCACCTGGCCCAAGTAAATCATTTTTAATGACTGCATAACACCCCCTCATATGGCTATTCCAAATTTAACTAGGCGTCCCCTACTGCAGGGCTGTCAGGCTGTTTCTGACCTTTCATTATTATAAATAACACAACGATAAATACAGATGGAGAATTATTCAGCTCTTATCCTAGGCTTCCAGAACAAAGACAAAATAGTTGTTACAGGGAGGGGGCTGAGACACCCTGCTCCCCCATCCAGGGAAAAGAGTCCCAGACTATGCCCCCTCACTTTTTATAAATACCACAAGGCAGAGGAGCTCTCTGGTGAAAAGACAGGGCCCTTCTCCTGACCACACCCTAGAATCCACTAAGAAAATGGTGAGGGCATCAAATCAGTGACTGTAGGGCCCCCAACCTCCCCAACTTCTTCCCCTAGAAGGAGTGCCTTTGACCACTCTGACCCAGTGAGGTGCATGTTTTCCTCTGGGTGCTTCAACACTCCCAGGCACTGATAAAGGTGTTGATGTTGCTTCTCAAGACCCTGGAAGAAACTAGCCCTGGCCTGGAGCCAAATTCCTTAAACCCTCTAATAAACTCCACATCCTGACCCCCTTCTGGCGGACACACCTAGGCAGAACATCCCTTTCTTTCCTGTCTGACAGAGCAGGGGTCCCTGAACCCTGGGCCGCAGATACTAGACCCAAACCAGTCCAAGCTGCGTTAGGAACCGAGCCGCACAGCAGAAGGCAAGCGTCCAGTGGGCCAGCGAACATTACCACCTGAGCTCCATCTCCTGACAAATCAGCAGCGGCAATACATTCTCATAGGAGTGGAACCCTATTGTGAACTGTGCAAGCAAGGGAGCAAAGTTGCGTGCTCCTTATCAGAATCTAATGCCTGATGATCTCAGGTGGAACAGTTACATCCCAAAACTATCACCCCACCCCACCCCAAATCTGGTGGAAAAATCGTCTTCCATAAAACTGCTCTCTGGTGCCAAAAAAGTTGGGGACCACTGTGCCAAGGATATGCCACAGCCTACTCTGTAAGTCCATTCCTCTAATGAGCACTTTGGACTGATCACCCTAGCATTTAGTGCTGCTTTCTTTGGAATCCCAACCAGACCCATCACGGGATGGTTTGAGGCTGTCCCATGCAGGAACTCCCTTGCCACTGTCTTTGGGATGACTCCAGTCACCAGTCAGTGGGACAAAATAGTGACTAAGCAGCAAGCCATAGTTTACAGCTGTTCTTCATCACACTCTAGTTTTTCCTTCATTTTCTTGAATCCCACCCAGCATGTTTCAGTCCCTGCACATGGCTCTTGATTTGCCTCTCCTTCCTGGAGTTACTGTGACACTTGGAAAACTGGGACAAGCTGAATTTAAAGCACTAACTGCAGGGTTCCATAGTCTGATGCTTTAAATACCTGCTTACCAGCTACAGAATAAACATGGGGGCAAAACTGTTTCAAAAACTGGCCATTATTATACAAATATGAGTTTGTTTTTTTTTTTTTTTTAGAACCCTACTGCAGTGATTCTCAACATTATGGACATTTGCAGGGAACAACTCTTGGTGAACAGGCCTGTCCCACACATTAGAAGGTATTTTAGCATTCCCTGATCCCTACCCACTCAATACTAACAGCACACCCTGTCCCTGTTACAACCTGAAACTTCCCCGCTTCCCCATTCCCATGGCTACAGTGGCAGGAAGATATTAAGACATCATAGAGATTAACTCTATGTGATATAAAATCTGTGTTGCAGAGAAGCTCTGCAAAATCCAACTGCAATTTTAAATGCACCAATGAGAGCTCTATTTAAAGAGCCATCCAACAGGCAGCTTTGTTGTTGCTGTTGTTTTCTTATGCCCTGCGATGCGTCTGCATTTAAAGATCTAATTTACTACATGATATTAAGTGTGGCTTTTTCATCACTGCCAATCATTTTCTTCAAGCCTACTCATGCGCCTGAAGCAGCGCAAGTTGAATTGAGAACCATTTCAATGTCTGCAAACTATCTGTTACATACTCATGTCACCCTCCTTGTAATTACTTGCTAGAAGGGTTAAAACTCAAAAGCTACAACCCATGCTGATGATTTTGCAACTGGATTTTACCAAGACACACCGTCTATATATTCACAGCAGCAAAGAAATAAAATCTAGTCCCCTAGAAAAGCAGACACTCACCTCCGTTTATCATTAAAAAAGTTTGGCTTCTCAGCCTGAACAATGACCACATCGAACAGGTCCCTCCAGTCTTTCCCAACGATATACCTCATCCCTTTGTCCCTAGGGCAACAAGTCAGCCAGGTTAGTCTAACATTAAAGGGATTAACTATATTTATAACTTTTTCTTTCCAACTGCTAAAACAAATGGGATACAAAGAGTGTGCCAGAAGCTAGCAATGAAACACAGAGCAACTTACACAAAGCTACTGGGGCTATTGGTGATGAGAAACATCTTCTTGCCATGATCAGCCAGTTTGGCCAACACTGCGCGGGTCTGCTCAGCATAGCAGATGTACTTTTCTAAGAGCAAGAGAAAAATTCACACATAGATTCAGCATGATATTGGTCAACCTGCAAGTACTTTCTAAATGGGGGTATGGGCCCAGCACTCCTAGGCACAGGAGAGGGAATAAAAGCCTTAAAGAAGCTTTGTTCAGTGGAACATGGGTGTATCTGGTGCATCAGTCACAAAGACCCCACCCTTTCAGTCTAGGTGGAAACAACTAAATGGCTATAGCGGCCAGTGCCTCTCCTTTTAAGTCAGAATTACGTCAAGTTCCAGGACAAAGAGGAGACGGCTAACATGCCAGGATGCCAAGTCCTTACAGAGCACTCATGCAGCCCCTGCTTAGCACCTGGAATGCAAGTAAAAATGCCGGCATGGTTGCACAAGAAACAGGCTGCAAATCTCTCCGTGATAATGCTGAGCACATACCAATGTCTGCTTCAATTGCTCTGTACATTATTCCTTTGATGTGGACATCTCGAATTGAATCCTGCCAAAAGATAGATTTTTAATCAGTGAAAATACAACTGAGAGAGTCTGAGTAACAGTACAGGATTTCACCATGTTGGCCAGGCTGGTCTCAAACTCCTGGGCTCAAGTGATCCACCTGCCTCGGCGTCCCAAAGTGCTGGGATTGCAGGCGTGAGCCACCACACCTGGCCAATTCCGGTCCATTTTCATAGGCAGCCCCTTGTGAAAAGCAAAAGTTTCCATGGTGATGGTGGCAATTTTCAAAAGAGTGCTTGGGAGAGGTCGTTTCTGTGAATAATTCTGAATAAAGTCCCCATGATAGACAGTAATTTCCATACAGTATTGTGAGCAAATGATTCCAAGCCATCTGGACAAAGGGAGTTATTGCTCTTTCATCTTTGTACCCTTTCCGTCCCTAGACCCCAGCAGCAAATTCTGTAACACAGAATGAGAGGCAGAGATAAAGAGCTAACAAGTTCCTCCTCTCTCTCTGGTGCTACCAGTAGGGCAACAAACTGGCAGTGAGGCTGTAGCTTAGGCAGAGATCGGGTCCAGGGAGAGGAAAAGGAAGTGGTTAAACCCTTTGTGGGTTCAGGAGTGTGGCGGCACGACAGCTGGCAGGTGACCCTGCACAGGGCCTCTGCCTGGTGACGTTCCTAGAGGCCTATGGACATTTCCTACGGCCAGGAACAGGAGACGCGGCTGTAGGCAAAACTGCGCCCACACCTTACTCAGACTGTTGCTGGGAGATTTCTGTTAAGAGTGACCCCTTCTGGACTGCAATTTCAACCTTTCAGCACAAGCCTGATTCCATTTCATACCAGCAGCAGAAGGCAGTAGTTAAATGCAAGTCGGATTGCCGGATTTAAAATCAAGGCTCTGCTACTTACCAGCTGTGTGACGTTGGGCAAGTAACTCAACCTCACTGTGCCTCATGTCCTTATCTATAAAGAATAGTGCCTACCTCAAGGCATTATTAAGAAGATTTAGCAAGTTAACTTGCCTAAAGCACTCATAAGAACAGTGCCTGGGACCTAGTAAACTTTTAAAGACAAAGTATCTGTGCACACAAAAAGGAGGACAGAAACCAAATATCTAAATTCAATTTAGGTAATATTACACTGATATTGAGAAACTCTAATTCATCCTCTATCTTCCTAAAACCCAGGATTCAGGGCTGCCAAAACTTAAAATTACTTATAAATACATACAACAAAAATACTCTAGTATGTAAACATGTATCTTTACAAAAATATAATTTAAAATACATATACTTATGACTATGCAAATACATATAAACTTTTTTCGTATTAAAAAGTTCATACAGCTTAAAGAACATCTATAAATATGTAAACATGTAAATATAACAAATTAAAGTACATAAATAAATTTATAAATATAAATTACAGGTGGATCAATTGCGGCTAGGAGTTGGAGACTAGCCTGGCCAACGAGGCGAAACTTCGTCTCTACTAAAAACACAAAAATCAGCTGGGCATGGTGGCAGGCACCTGTAATCCCAGCTACTTGGGAGGCTGAGGCAGGAGAATCACTTGAACCCGGGAGGCAGAGGTTGCAGTGAGCCAAGATTGTGCATTGCTCTCCACCCTGGGTGACAGAGCAAGACTCTGTCTGAAAAAAAAAAAAAAAAAAAAAAAAGCAGCAGCAGCAGCAGCAGCACCCGCTTGCTTGGGAAGACTCTGGGGTGAGTGTTCATCCCTTTGGCCAAATGCACCAGCCCTGGCCTTGGCCTTCTGGTAAGAAAGCATCAAAAATGGAGATAACAGTGTCAGCACCAACTTGTTTTAACAAAAATCTTGACTGATTTCCAATTCTCCTGATGTAGCAACATCTTTCTTATATACAGTTCAAGGTTAAACTGCATGTAAGAGTTGCCAGCTAAGAGACTATTTAAAACACCTAACCTAGAAAGGAAGTTCATGGCTCTGTGACTCCCACTGAAAAGCTGAAACAGACTCAGCACTGTGATCTCCCTGTGAATACAACCTTGACATCTTTGTACAGGTGCACAGGCTCGTAGTCAATGTTGTTCTTGAGGAAGTATTCATTCACACAGGACAGAAGGGTCATCTCGGGCAGGGAGAAGATGTCCATGAACTGCTTCATCGTGTTTCCATGAGAGCTCTGCAGACAGGAAGGAAGGATGCTTCAGAAACAGGGGCCCAGGCCAGGGGCAGAGCCAGGAGGCACCAGGAACAGCAGGAAGACTTTTCACTCAGGGAGATTCCTATCATCAACATTTAAAGCCCTCTCCACAAAACAGGAAAGTTCTAATAATAAAAAAGTAAAATGGGCTGGGCATGGTGGCTCACGCCTGTAATCCCAGCACTTAGGAGGCCAAGGCAGGTGAATCACCTGAGGTCAGGAGTTTAAGACCAGCCTGGACAACATCACGAAACCCTCTCTCTACTAAAAATACAAAAATTTGCTGGGCATGGTGGTGGAGGCCTGAATTGCTTGAACCCGGGAGGCAGAGGTTGCAGCGAATGGAGATCGAATGACTGCACTCCAGCCTGGGCAACAAGAGCAAAACTCCATCTCAAAAAAAAAAAAAAAAAAAAAGTAAAACATTCCCCTTCTTCCTTATCATTCACAGCAGAGCTGATGTCTCCCTCTAACTAGGATATCGACAGAAATATCCTGATTTCCCTCAGAGTCTTATCACCCTTCCCCTTCTGATTTCTCGTATATTCAGTCCCATTTCCAGTTCACACTCTTTCAGGAAACACAGAGAAAAGCCAGCAAATTATGGCCCATAATGACATAAAAACTCACGTAACTCTCCTGAACTGGAGCATGTCCTCATGGCCCATATTTGAGCTTAAAAAAGAGCCTTTCTCTGAATGCTTGCAATTTATACTATAGATTCTCCACATCCTGATAGACCCACTGTAAGTCAAAGATGCATTTCTACATCTAACCTATGGAACATCATGGCTCGGGCTAGCCTATCGTAGGCATTCTCAGAACATTTCCATTAGCCTCTGCAAAGCCTGCTTTATAATGAAGTGCTGAGTGTCTCAAATAATTTACTGAATACTGTAATTTATGTTGAAATGGCGATGCCTTTGCACCATTGTAAAGTTAAAAAAATCTAAGAAAGAATCATTGTTAAGTCAGGGGCCATCTGTACTAAGTCTACCAGCTGACTGGGCATCTTCCATTTCATTTTGACAAAGCAAGTGCGTGAATGCATCTAATAAGACAAAAAGCAAAAACTCTTGAGTGGAAAGAGAACCACAGAAGTTAGAAAAGCAGAGGTTCCCCTGAAGGCAAAAAGGGTGGCTGTGTAGCCTTCAATCTCTGGCATTCACAGCCATCCGTCAGGGGAAGCAGTAGCTGTCACACTGACAGCCCCCATCCATTCTGGAGCCCCACTCCAGAAACTAGGGACATTCCTGGATATGGAGTGGCACAAGGGGTAGGTAAGTGGGAGGCAAAAAGAGCCTTCATCAGGTGGGGAGGAAGGGCTTCAGAAAGGAGGATCATGGGAGAACCTGGGGGTGCCCCTTCAAACACTAGTCTCTCTCAACACACAAGCTCATATTTCTTGCCAGTTCCGTAGGAGCAGTAGGTAAGTTTGACAAGGCCATGTTTCAAGAAGGAAAAAGGCTGCTTTAAATGAATAAAGCGCTCCTCATTACCTTTCCGTAAAAGTCGCTCATCTGCTCCAAGGGCACGTGGGACCCCTCGTACATTTCAATGACTTCTTCATCAGGGACAACACTGAGGCCTCTGGAAAAATCAGACGGTGCAATTAAAGAGCTCAACTAGAGAGACCAATGCTTTTCACACCCCTGTGCAGCGCTGGGATTTTCCAACTGAGGTGCAAGACAGTGTCATCGCTAGGAGACAAAATGTGCCACAAGTAAAGGCTACAAATATCAGGTAAGATGCTACTACGTTTACCACTACTACTGTTCTGTTGGTAAGAAGAGCAGGAATAATGATAATATTAATCGTTAATACTACGTGGCTAGATATGAATTACACCTAGTCATTCCTGTAATTCTCAGCAATCCTAGGCGGTGAGGCACTATTATTCTTCCCATTTACAGCTGAGGTAACTGAAGCACAGAAAGGTCATGTACCTTGTTCAAGATCACCATAGCAGGAAGTGGTGGGTCAGGATTAGAACCCAGGCCTTCTGGCTCTATGGCCCAGGCTCTTACACCACTAAGGTACAAGGCTTCCTAATGACTTGTTTTGGGGTGGGCTGGCTTTTGTTTTGATGTATTTAATATATTAGGGCAGAGACAGGCCATTTTTGTCTCCATCAGACATCCTCTTGCCCTCTAATACTCTAGCCTGAGACAGGTGCTGATTTGGTTTAGCTATGTCCCCACCGAAATGTCATCTTGAATTGTAGCTCCCATAATTCCCACGTGTTGCGGGAGGGAACTGGTAGGACAGCACTGAATGATGGAGGCAATTTCCCCCATACTGTTCTCATGGTAATGAATTAAGTCTCACAACATCAGATGAATTTTATTAGGAATTTCCCCTTTCACTTGGTTCTCATTCTCTCTTGCCTGTCACCATGTAAGACATGCCTTTCGCCTTCTGCCATGACTGTGAGGGCTCCCCAGCTACGTGAAACTGTGAGCCCATTAAACCTCCTTTTCTTTATAAATTACCCAGTCTCCAGTATGTCTTTATCAGCAGTGTGAGAATGGACTAATATAGGTGCTGAGAATGGCAACTGCCACACAGGTTTAGGCTCAGTGGACTAAACCTCATGACATGAGGCAGGAAGTCCAATGGCACCACCACCTTGGAGGGAAAATGACCCCGGATGCTTTGTGACACTGAAGGCCAGTTTCCTCCTCTACCATCTGTTTACGTCTGGAATCTGCAAATGAATCCAGCTCCTCCACATGCAGAAAAAAACAAAAAAATGGATTGTGAAGTCAGTGGTCTGGGTTTCACTCCTGCCCCTGCCACCAGTGACCAGAACAGGCGCCTTCACCTGTTCACCTGGACTTATCTACTCTCAAGAGTCAGGAGGGGAAGCCTGCTCTTCCACCCCTTCCGTGGAGGAGAAAGTGCTTGAGAAACAGACACCAATGATTAGGAAACTACAGAATGAATGGTACAGGAAATGTCACATGTGCTGTAACAGGAGTATGAATAAGTCAAGAAGAATTTTAGTTACTAACACAACAGGTTGCTTAGCGTACAAAACCACACGATCCATGGTAAAACCTATGTACAATATCATTTATATTTTGATATGTAAAGTTAAAAGACTCTTCAACCTCTTTCCTCCTGTCTCCATCACCCACATTACTTTAAAAAGTATCTGAGTGGATTAATATTTTGCCCCTGATCTTGATTAACCTGTGACAACTACTGGCCTTTTAAAAACCAGAAACACTGGACTTCCTTTATCTTTGCTCCAGAAATCAGATAATACACTGGCACTAGGCCAGATCATTGGAAGCAGTGACCTTGGAAATCAGCCCTTGCTGAGCAGCGGCCGTCACGTGTCCACATTGCTAAGGCTCTAACACTGGAGAGAAAATATAAAAAGTAAAGTGATTAGGCCAGGTGAGAGTTATTTCCCTACCCTTTGGAAGCCACTGCTGCCCCTAAGGCACAGGCACAGCCACCCGGGCTGCCTACACAAGAGCCAAGCAACCAAACGGCAGCTCAGAGGCGGCAGTGAAAGCTGCCAGCTGAATTCCCCAAGGGGCAGCTGCATCGAACAAAGAGTCAGACACAACTGCAGCAGACACGGGCAGACTGCGCGGCCACATCTGAATGCAGCCCCGAGCGGCGTTGAAATCAAAGTGGAAGCTCCTTTTGCCCCGCTGCTCCGTGTGAGAAACACGAGGTTAGGGCACAGACCTGAATGAGTCTGCCAGGGCCTCAAATTCCCCGCTCCCTTAATCCCTAGGGATATCACCTTGACAAGTAATTCGTCCCTTTTGGGTCTCAAAGTCTTCATTCTTAAAGCAGGGAACTACAAAAGTGCCTACTTCCTGATGTCACTGAGAAGATCACAGGAGCTACTACGTACAGAACAGCTGGCATAGGGCAAGCACTGCAGAGAGATTTCACCAGTGTGACTGTGATGGGAGCCATCCCAGCTTTTCACAAGGTTCCTAGTAAGAACTTAAAATGTAGGTACAAAAACAGGGCTGCGGTGGGGGACCCTCTTCACTCCCACCCATCCGGCAGCACTCACTCCTGTGGGCCAGACATCATAAATTTCACCCTGGCATAGGGACCGGGAACCTGCATCAAGGCTTCGAAACAAACTAGGCTGAGACTGACACTTTCTTCCCACCTTCTCTCACTTAAGACCCCTTCTGGGGTTAAAGAGAAGTGACATTTCTGAATGCCCAGGCTCTTAAACCACTAAGGTACAAGGCTTCCTAATGACTTGTTTGGGGTGGGCTGGCTTTTTAAAAAATGTATTTAACACCTAAGGGCAGAGAAAGGCTGTTTTTGTCTCCATGAGACATCTTCCTGCCCACCAATACTCTTCCCTGAGACAGATGCTCAGAGCGGAAATGGCCACACCCAAGGGTCAGAGGACCAAACCCGTGACACGAGGCGGGAAGCCCGGGACTCCAGCCTGTGTTTTGGGCCCTGAGCAGGTATGCTTCATCTTCACAGGCTGCCCCTTACGCAGGCACTGGCATCATGCCTGCTTTACAGGAGGAAACCAAGGCTTTCAGAGGGTCCAGAGATTGCTCAAGACCACACACATACGAGCCATGGAGCTGGGGTTTGCAACCAGGAAGTGTGAGTGACTCGAGTCCACCTCAACACCCCTCTCAGCACTGATGCAACAGAGAACTTCCCACAGCCTCACTCTGAATGCTCCTTCCCCTGTATGCCTCAGTGGCTCTTTGTACTAAGCCTGTCCTTGACACCATGGGCAGGATATATACAGGAAACAAAGCAGCTCTTCTTCTGTGAACTCCGGGAGAAGACAGGGGAGAAAGAAAGAGCATTTCGGGCTAAAAGGGTGAGGAGAAGACTCACCACAAGTTGGCCATGGAGGGTGGGTGGGATTTCAAGAAGCAGAGAGGAAGGAAAACTGTACCCTGGCAGAACACCAGCAGAAGCAAGTGCCAGGCAGCGAGAAAGATATCAAGGAAAAGAATCCCTGTGCTGTCTTCACCTGCCCGGCATCCTGCCTCTCTTCATCATAATGAAGAGAGGGACCAAACACGTGACCCAAGTCATTCTGATGAGATTCAGTCCTGAGACTCCGGTGGAATGTAGAGACACAAAGCTCCTCTGTTCCTCTTGACCTGGAGCTGGGAGGATGTGGGCCTGGGAGTGCCGGGGGTCGCCAAGGAGGGGCTTGCCTGAGAGTGAGCCAAGCCAGAGAGGAAGGCCAAGAGATGGAAAGAGTTCTGACAATAGCGATTTGGGCCTCAGAGCCAGCGACACCTGCAAACTCACTCTGTCTGTGGGCTATACAATTAGTGGCCAACATTGTGTTTCTGATGAAGCCAGTTTGAGTTTCAGTCACTTGCAACCACCAATCCAGTAAGTACAGGAGCTGTGTACAGAAGAAGAGGAAGCAAAGGGTTTAAAGCAGGTTGATAAAAATCTCAAACTTAAGCCTAAGCATAAGGCTTAGGCTTTATTCTGTAGAGAGCAGGGAGCCATCCAGGGTTTCAGAGGAGGGGATTACTGGGAGTAATGACTTTGGGAATCAGTCTGACAAGAATGTCCAGGATGGAGTGCACCGCAGCAAACCCCAAGAACCCAGGAGAGAAGGCGTAAGTGTCTAAGGAGGGAACCGACAGAACAGATGGAGAGACAGAATGAAGCGTGCTAGTGAGGATTTTCATAAACACGCATAACCTTGCCTTCTTCGTTCTCTCCCCCACCCCCACCACTGCCATAATAACTTCGGGAAAACACTAGGAGCTATGAGTAGGGGAACGAACGAATGTTTGTTTAAGAGGTTTAGAGAAAGAAACACTAAAAATTGAATACGTCAAATGTAGCAACAACTTTAAAATATAAGTTAAAAGTAAGTCTGTTGGGAATGGTACAATCTGGAGGTCAACTGAGCCATTCCAAAAGCCTTAAAATGAATGAACAATGTTCACCCAGCAATTTCACTTACAGAGACTTTTCCTAAGAAAATGAGACATGTGCACAAAAGTGTATCAATTACATTTAATATACATGTTACTTATAAAATAAATGAAAAAATTTTTTAAACTTTTAGGTTTAGGAGTACCTGTGCAGGTAAACCCATGTCATGGGGGCTTGTGGTACAGATATTTCATTACCCAGGTACCAAGCCTAGCACCCTACCCATCAGTTATTTTTCCTGATCCTCTCCCTCCTCCCATCCTCCCTACCAGGCCCCAGAGTCTATTGTTCCCCTCTACGTGTCTATGAGCGCTCATCATTTAGCTTCCACTTGTAACTGAGAACATGCAGTATTTGGTTTTCTGTTCCTATGTAAGTTTGCTAAGGATAATGGCCTCCAGCTCCATCCATGCTCCTGCAAAAGATGTGATCTTGTTGGAAAGATTATTTGTAATTGTCCATATTAAAATAGATTCACTACCCCCAAAAAAAGACATGTTGAGGGACTCCAACTATCCCTCCTACCTTCAGAAAAGCCACACAGCATAGTGGCCAAGAGCACAGACTCAGGAGCCAGGCTGCCTGGTTCAGAATTCCAGCCCACGCAATTATTTGCTGTGTGACCTTGGGCAAGTTACTTAACACCTCTGGCACTAATAACAGTACCTACTTCACTCAGTTATTTTGAGGATTGAATTAGTTAGCTCAAACAAAACCCTTATAAGAGTGCCTATCCCATAACAAGGCTCAATATTTGCTAGTCACTGTTAGTAATATTATTATCATCACAACCACCTCCTCTCGCTCCTGAAACACCATTAAGGTGAGAATAAAAACAGTCAAAGGAAACGAGAGCAAAGACATCAACAGACAAGACATTTCCACAGACCCTGGAAGACAAACAGTGGGTGCAAAGAAGGAATCTGACTTAACAACACTGAGAACGGAGGCCTGCAAGGGGACACCCACCACAAGAACTGATTCCCACCACAGAGCTGCAGAAAGGCTGAGCACTAGGAGGTCCCAGGAAGCTACTGGAGGATACACTCCAGCACAATGAGGGAGTAAAGCCAGAGAGACACAGCAAAGGGAACTAAAAACAGGGAAAGCAGCAAAGGGAAGTCGCAAGACAGGAAACCAAACCAGATCAGACCAGGAGGGGAGAGTCGTTTTTTTTTAAAAAAGTGACAGATTAAGGAAAACATTTGAATTACTGGAAAATATAAATACATGCCTGACACTTGTAATTGAGCATATCTGTAATGGAAAATAATTAGAGGTCTCTACACAGAAAACTAGGCAAACAAAAAATGAGATTATTGTTAAAATCTAACAAAAAACAAAAAAGAAAGAAAAATAATTGCATTGGACTACCTGGCTTAAGAGTGAACCGGCTGGGCACAGTGGCTCACGCCTGTAATCCTAGCTCTTTGGGCAACCAAGGCAGGCGGATCACCTGAAATCAGGAGTTTGAGACCAGCCTGGCCAACATGGTAAAACCCCATCTCTACTAAAAATACAAAACTAGCCAGGCGTGGTGGTGAATACCTATGATCCCAGCTACTTGGGAGGCTGAGGCAAGAGAATCACTTGAACCTGGAAGGCGGAGGTTACAGTGAGCCGAGATCTCACCACTGCAGTCCTGCCTGGGCGACTGTCTCAATAACCAAAAAAAAAAAAAAAACAGGTCAACCAGACAAGACCTTCTGAGTCATAATGTAAACAGCGAATGGTACAACCACCAAAACCTGAGATCTGAATGCTATGAGAGGAATGAGACTGGAGAAGCGGGAGGAGGTGCCAGAAAGCTAAGTCCTCATCTATCACAGCAGGGACAATGTCCAGAATCAATCAATTAGAAAATACAAGAACCAACACATTACTTAAAAAATCTAAAGACTTAAAAGCTTTTGGGGGCAGAGGGGAGCACAGAAGATTGCTGCCATCTTGTTTGACTCTGACTCAACACGTTTAATCTTGTTTGACTCTGACTCAACACATTTCACTTTGACTTAAAAAACAAATAAGCATTAATTTTAACAGTTTGTGAGAGAAGAATGTAAGCTAAGATATGCATACTTTTAAGCATAAGCTGTGCACCTAAATACAAATCACACTCCTAAATCCCCTCCCAAATTAGAGAATTAAAAAAGGCAAAACCCTCCATTTTAAAAGTTACAAAGATGGCTGGGTGTGGTGGCTCACACCTGTAATCCCAGCACTTTGGGAGGCTAAGGCAGGTGGATCACTTGGAGTCAGGAGTTCGAGACCAGCCTGGCCAATATGTTGAAACCCTGTCTACACTAAAAACACAAAAATTAGCTGGGCATGGTGGTGCGTGCCTCTAGTCCCAGCTAATCGGGAGGCTAGGGCGGGAGAATCTCTTGAACCCGGGAGGCAAAAGCTGCAGTGAGCCTAGATTACGTCACTGCACTCCAGCCTGGACCTCATGGTGAAACATCACCTCTAAAAAACAAAGTTACAAAGACTTCCAGCTAAGTGAAGTACTTTTACTTATTCTAATAAACAGGCAAAAAAAGAAAAAAAAATCTCAATATCCAAATACCCAAATACCACCCAAAAATACCATGGTGGGAAGGAGAACCCAGTTCCCTCAGCCCCATAGCCCTCCTGCTCCAAATCTCCTCACCAGGACCCTCCCTCAGCTAGCCAGCCAGCATCTGCTCTCCCTCCAGTCCTCCAGACTGCTTCCTAAGGCTCTGAGCACATTTCTATCACCACCTCTGTCACTCTGAACTGCAGTCAGGTTTACTTACATGACTTCTAACCCACACTCTGAGCTCCTTCAGGGCATCTGTGCAAACAAAGCCCTTAGCACCTAGCATGGTAGCAGGCCTCAACAAATGCTCTTGAAAAAGTGAGTGAATGAATGAATGAATCATATCCACAATGCAGCCCTCCTCATCACTCAACAGTCAGAGGGTCCTGAAACCCAAAGCCATCCGGTTACTTCACCTGGTAAATTAAATGTATCTCCTCTTCCTCTTACCTGTAGACAGTTCCCAGCTGGATGTAATGAAAAGCATCAATCTTCATTAATACTGCCTTTAAAAACATAAACATATGCACATGTAAATAGCGTATAACCATCTGCATATTAAATGAGCAATCCAGCTGTCATAAATCCTATCAACATTAGGCTGCCCTAACAAGGAAGCACACACTGTATGTTCCTGAAAGGAACATGTTGCTTGTTAATTAATGTGCTGTACAGCTCTTTAAAGAAATGGCCTATCTGCAAGAGACAGAGAAAAAAAACAGATATGGCAACTAGTTCCTCCTCAAAACACCAAAAATGACAACTAGAAATAAACAGTACCTCCTAAATAGCTAAATGCATTCATGCTTTTCTGATACATAGTCTCTTCCAGAAGATTCTATCCAAAGATATGCAAATAATTTGGTTCTGCAGTCCCAAATAATTTAAAACTCATTTACCCATTCAGTACAGAAAAGTATGAAGAGTACATTTTATTTCCAATCATTAAACCGTAGAAAAACAGGAGAAGTAAGCCTACCCGCTGCACATCATAATGAAGTCCACGGATTGCAAAATTTGGGTCGTACTCATACTTCCTGATTTCTGCTGGATACTAAGAAAGAAGAAAGGAACTGGTTTTAGCCAACGATGTACTAAGTGCAGGATCCTGTTCAGATCTGGCCCCTGTACAAAGGCTGAGGTAGTTGATACAGCAGTGGGAAGGTGGGGTCAGAAGAGGCAGATGACAGCCTGTCCCTCCGCTTCCAATCCAAGTGCCTCCTGGCAAGCACCCCAGTCAGAGCCTTCCATTCTGCCCCGCGCCCCGTCCATCTGCCCAAGCACAGGCTGGGCCTCCTCCCCTCCCCCGCCAACTTCTCTCAACTCTCTTCTCTCTTTCCCTCCCCTCCCTGTGTCCCTAGACTCCCAGATCCTTAAGAGCCCGGTAACATACACATCAGCTTCGCCCTCCTTCCATCACTCCCCTCCTTTTATCTTCAAGGCTGCTGCGGAGAGGCTGGAATGTCCCCTCTAATACTGGAAGCACAACTTTAGGCAAACGCCTTGTCCGCCATCCATTCAACTCGTACGTGAGCACCTCAACGTGGCAGCCCCCTTAACGGCCCCACTACCAGGTTTCATGGAGAGACCCAAGGTGAAACTTCTCAAAGAGGGGGGGCCTCTCCATAGAGCTTTCAATATTTTTCTCATCTGGACAGCTGGCCACTGCTCCCCTCCAGCTGGGGAACCCCACGGCTGTCAGGCACAGCATTCCCCACACCAGGCCCAGGAAGGCTTACGGAGACTGCCTGGCACTGTCTCAGAACAGCTGTGAAGGCAGCGGATATGGTTTGGCTCCATGTCCCCAGCCAAATCCCATCTTGAATTGCAGTTCCCATCATTCCCACGTGCTGTGGGAGGGACCTGGTGGGAGGTAATTAAATCATGGGGGCGGTTCCCCCCATGTTCACAAGATCTGATGGTTTATAAGGGGAAATCTCTTCGCTTGGTTCTCATTCTCTCTCTTGCCTGCTGTCAATGTAAAACATGCCTTTCCCCTTCCACCATGATTGTGAGGCCGCCTCAGTCATATGGAACTGTGGGTCCATTAAACCTCTTCTTCTTTATAAATTACCCGGTCTTGAGTATGTCTTTATCAGCGGCGTGAAAACAAACTAATACAGCAGCCCAGCTCCCCTGGTATTTCCTATTATCAAGCCATTTCTCACGCTATGCAAAATTGCTGGCTCCTCCTTATCGACGGCGGTATCTAAGCCTTACCTCTCCCTAAATCTCAGAATTAGGACACCAGCTACCTGTTGATGGCACTCATCTGTGGGCACCATTTCTGCTGCTACTACATGGCAGGCCCTACCATCCCCATTTTATACCGAGGGGACATCAGAGGTTCTGAACGAAACAAGCTGGGGTATGGTGAAGGGGGAATCAGGCTGGGGCCTTCTCCCTGCTCTCCCTACTACCCTTCTGCCCTTAGAGCACAAGCCTGCAGGACAGAAAGTCTACTCCTGAATCTAGACAGGCGACATCACCAGGACCTTCCATTGTGATTCAAGTTACTTAAGTTAAAACCCAGACAACTATTCAGATGCCCGGAAACCTCCTTCTATGGCTGAGCTGCTAACATTTCACGGCCAAGGCTCCCTTTACACAAGAACAATTCCCGGGACCACCAGGCTGACCCACGTGGAGCAACTTTTCAAGTCAAGCTGCACGAAGCACTAACTCAAATGTCACATTTGGGATCAGTTATCCACTACCTGCCATGTGTGCCAAGAAATCACCAAACTGACATTTCCACTCATGGGCGTTCCCGAGAATTGAGAACACTGTGTATGGTCCTGCATTTTTGTAGACATACTTCACAAGCTGACACAGAAAGCAACACCCAGCACCCTGGATCTGCTTACTGAAGCAGGGCCAAGGGACTTCAGCAGCTCTGCAATCTCCTGTTCAATTCGTGGCTGATGGATGAATAAGACAGCAGACAAGAAAGAAATATTTTAATGTGTCACTGAGAGAGGTGCCTTCACTGAGCATTTGCTACATGCCACACACTAGACACTTTCTATGACTTTCTTTATTCCTCACTGCACCAGCATGAAGGAAGCAGGGCATCTCATGCCTATTTTACTGTTGAATAATCTGAAGATCAGGGGCAAATTCTGAGGTTGCACATCTAGGAACTGAATCCAGGTCTGTATCACATCCAACTCGACCCCTAACCACCACATAATCAATTCTGAACCGGCTCTGAGCCACCATATACTGAACACTCATTGCCTACCGGTCACAGCAGCACCTGCCTTCTCAGAGGAGCTCAACACATTTGCTGGAAGGATTTGCAGTTACAAGCGGAGCACTGACTATTTTAGTTGATTGCTGGCACATAAATAAGAGTGTGTGTACTGCTGAAAAGTCTGGTGGTCCTTTCTTTAAATGAAGCTTATCTGGGCTCCCCACAGGACACGCCCTCCACACACTCACTTTCCCCTTGCCTCTCACTCTCAATGTTATTCTTCGGGAGCCACCCCTGAGAAACACACACCGTTTATCTAATGGTCCAAAGACCAGAGAGAGTGACTGCATTAGTCCTTCTCAGGCTGCTAATAAAGACACACCTGAGACGGGGTAATTTATAAAGGAAAGAGGTTTAATCGACTCATCAAAGCGCTGGCCCCACATGAAGCACAACTCGCTCACTTACCTGCGGAATGCACAGATGCATACATCAAGTGTTTATTGAGTACCTACTTTATGCCAGGGTCTGGGAACACAGCAGTGAGCAAAACTGACAAAGGTGTCTGCCCCTGCAAAGTTCCCATTCTACCTAGGGAGGCAGACCATACACAAATACACACATAGAATATAACGTCTCGGAGTGTATGTTCTACAAGAACATGCAATACAAGCATACATGGATCTGGGGGGAAAAAAAAGGACCAGGAGCAAGCCTCAGGCCATCTGGGAGAAGAAAGAGTGCCTCGAAGCACAGGAAACAGCAAGTCCCAAAGGCAGAAATAGCAAAGGGTTTGGAGGTTCAAGGAAGGGAGGAGGGGAGGAGGCTAGGAGGCCCTCGCTATGATGGAATGAAAATCACACTTCACCTCTGCAGTCTTCCTCCCCAAAACCATAACCCAGGCTAATCATGAGGAAGAGGCACACAGCACCTGATTGGCACTCTCAAAACTGTCATGGTCATTTAAAAAAGCAAGGAAAGTTGGAGAAGCTGTCAAAGCCAAGAGGCACCTGAGAGACATGACAATCAACTGTAATGTGGTGTCCTGGAGGGAATCCTGGAGCAGGAAATGGACATTCGGTAAAAACTAAAAATATCCCAACGAAGTATGGACTTTAGTGAATAATAATGTATCAAGATTGGTTCTTCAGTTGTAAAGAATGCACCTTAGTCAAGTGTTAACATTGGAGGACACTGGGCATTGGGGGTATACATACAGGAACTCAGTATTTGCAACCTTTCCATAAGTCTAAAACTATCCCAAAAGTTTAAAGGAGAAACAGAGCACAACACTTGCCGAGAGATCAGACAGGGATACAGAGTGTGAGGGGTCACAGCCAACGCTTTGGATATGAACCACCAGGTGATCGACGGTGGCGACTAATGAAGAAAATGCGGACTAACGTGTGAAGCTGAAAGACGACACTAAGACCTCTCCTACCCCTCCCTTGCTATTTCTTGGTGAACAAATAAAATCAAAATACAGACAGTTATTACTCCATTTTTTGAAAATTTCCATTTTTGTAAAAATTTCTTATTTTTAAAAAAGCATAATTACGAAGGAGCTGGAACTTTTTATGTTTGCTTTTTGGAAAGACACTAAATCGCCAACTTACTGTTCTATGACTGTGCATCTCAAAAGCAGATGTCTTTCCATCTCTACTCCTCTCCAAAGTGCATCAGTCTTGGCTGGAAGAATGGCACTGAACTCAGTGCATCTTGGAAGAATTATTTTGTTTAATCAGAACAAGAGAAAAATTTGTATAAGCATAATTGACTCTACTAATATGCCTGATATAATTACTGTTATAATTTCTTTTAGTTGTATCACAGCAATGAACAGACATAAAGAGAATGAAATTTCAATGATCTTAAATCTAGAGGCTTTTCAAATAATAGCGACTGCACCTTTCATTTTATCCATTTCATCTATCTTCCCCTCAAATTTCATAAATGTTTTATGTTCATATTTTATTTTCATATTTTATCTGCATCTGGGAAAAAAAAAACACCATAGGATGGAAATGTGTTAGTAACCCCGTAAGAGAGGCAACGTGCAGTAGAGGAGAGAATACAGTCCTTTGGAAACAGACAGACCTGAGTTCAAACTTGGTTCTGTCTCATACCGACCTATGGCCTTGATCTAGTAGCTTAGTTTTCTGAACCTCAGTTTCCTCAACTGTAAAACAGAGACAACGTGTGTGTCCAGGGTTGTTGTGCAGATTATAAATAGTAATATATTAATAAATAGCTAACATTTATTGAGTGTTCTCTATGTGCCATCTACTTTACATATATTAATTCATTTATCACAGTGACTATGAGGAAAGTACTATTACTATGCTCATTTAACAGAGGAGAAAACTGAGGTCCAGAGAAACTGAGTGAGCTGATCAAGATTATGTAGGAAATAACTGATGAAGGCCAGAATTTGAACCCTGACAGTGAGGCGTCAGAACCTGTTCTTTCAGGAGCTTGCGGACAATCAATGAAGAGTGTCATTGGGATCATGGTTTGCTTTTTATAAATTACATCAAAGTCACAGAAAACACTGCAGCTGACCTGGAACTAAAATGCTAGCAACGATGTAACACCCCTTCGGCTCCACTTTTTAGGGGGTGGTGAACAGACAGGATGGGTGGCAGGCAGGAAGCAAGGTCAGAACCACCTCATTCTCAGCTGGCTTTCATCTCAGGATCCAGGCCAAGGACCACAGTTCAGATGGAACAAAGTCGTCCCTCGAACAAACAAGACCTGCCACTGGATGCCAAGCAGCTGGGGGTTTTACATCTAGTAAAGTGGCCATAACTCAAGAAAGCCAGCTGCTGGCTTAGTGGCAGAAGGAAAGCTTCTTTTTGGCCAATGCCATTACTGTATTTTGGATATGGACAAAATGAGTTGCTCAAAACCACTGATAATCAAAAGCTGAGGGGGATCAGAAAACATGCTGAATCAAATGGTCAGGATCCAAAACTGATGAGAACTTTGGCTGCATTAATAAAAGCATGGCATCCAGAACCAGGGAGGTGAGGGTCTCCTTCTATTCCACTCTAGCCAGACCCCACCTGGGGTAACAACTTCAGTTCACAGCCTCACATTTAAGAAAAACAAACCAGAGCACACACAAAGGCAAGTGACTAGGATGATGAAAAGAAAAGAGGACAAACAGGAATGGTAAAAAGAGCTAAGAACGATCAACCTGGGAAAAGAGAAGTCTTGGAGGGCGTAGGCTGGTCTATACGATACTTGCCCATAATACGTCCAGTACTCAAACGGTTAGATATAAAATAGAAGTTTGCATAATTTGGGTTTAGAAGTTACTCATATCCACCCGTAGCCCTCCTTTGCTGCAAACTCCTTCAAGATTTGGCTGAAATATCACCTTCTTCTTTGCTTCCCCAATTCCCTCAGGCAGAGAAAGCTGTTCTAACCATCACAGTCAGATACATTCGAGGGCTAAGGAGACTTCCATTAGGAGGCTGCATAATTGATCCGCCTCCGTGACTGACGATACCACTGGGCTGCTGGTTCCTCATGGGCACTGCCTGTCTCCTACTCCTCTTTATCTTCCCAGCTTGCACTGTAGGGCTTGGCACAAGGAAGCTTAAGAAATGTGTGAAGCAATAAATCAAGGAAGAAAAGAGGTCAATGGTGAAAACTGTATGAAGGCAGAACTTTTCAACCGATGGAAAAACTTCCCAAAAAACAGAACCAACTCCCAGGACAACGTGTGCCTGTCTGAGATGGAGATCTGAGCTGTACTTCCCAGGAGGGGTCTCCAAGGGTACTGGCCCACATGACTTCTGAGGACACCACTTATCCTGCTTCCCGAAATGTGTACTCAAATCAGTCTAGAGAAAAAAATGGGCCAGGTGCAGTGGCTCACGCCTGTAATCCCAACACTTTAGGAGGCCAAGGTGGCAGATCACAAGATCAGAAGTTTAAGACCAGCCTGACCAACATGGTGAAACCCATCGCTACTAAAAAAAAAAAAAATAGCCAGGTGTGGTGGCGGGTGCCTGTAATCTCTGCTACTCAGGAGGCTGAGGTAGGAGAATCACTTGAACCCGGAAAGTGGAGGCTGCAGTGAGCCAATATCATGCCACTGCACTCCAGCCTGGTGAGAGAGCCTCTGTCTTAAAAAAAAATAAGACAAAAATGCTGGAGTTGCATATTTTCTTTTTTCCCTTCCTCAATAAAAACTCTCAACAATACTATGTATCAGAAGAAAGACATTCAAATATGCTTTACTCTTAGCAATTCAAATTGGTGCTGAAGGCAAAAAATCTCCTATCATTTGAGGAATTCCTCCTAACCAGAATTCAACAGGCTGCCAATTTATCAAGCTCAGGGAGACATCGTGTTGTTCCATGAAAGATGAGAGTATAAATATCTACAGCCAAATCTTCACTAATGCGCATCTTAGGAAGGTCTTTTGCCAAAAGACATCTAAAGATTTATTTAAAAAAAAAAAAAAAAAAAAAAAAAAAATCTTCCAGGCTGGTAGCAGTGGCTAACACCTGTAATCCCAGCACTTTGGGAGACTGAGGCCAGCCGATCATGAGGTCAGGAGTTCGAGACCAGCATGGCCAATGTGGTGAAACTCTGTCTCTATTAAAAATTAGGCAGGTGGGATGGCGCACACCTGTAGTCCAGCTACTTGAAAGGCTGAGACAGGAGAGAAACCTGGGATGTGGACGTTGCAGTAAGCCGAGATTGCACCACTGCACTCCAGCCTGGGTGACAGAGTGAGACTCCATCTCAACAACAACAACAAAAAAACCTATCTTCCAGATAAGAGTTACTTGGAAATTTGGAAGGGAACAAAATCTACTTATTCATTCAGCAACAATGTATTAAACGACTTCTCTGTGCTGGACATGGAGTCATGTCAACTCAAGGATGTTCAAAGGGGGAAGGGGAGGGAGAAAACTGAACATTCCCTGTGATCTTACCCGGTGTTCATTGATGAGAAGGTCCCGCGCGGCATTAAATATCAGCGTGTGGAGGTGCTTTGAATAAAACACCAAGGTGTAATCATAATCGAAGCCATAGATTTCGATGTCCGACAGGCTCATTTCATTGTTTGAGAAAATGGCATCTGGATTCAACAAGTTGCTCATAATGGAAGGAACCAATTCTGGAAATAAAAAAAATACATTATACTACATAATGAATAAAGGTTAGTATGCTTTCTAAAGAAAAATAAAGAGTAAACTAGACTACAAAAGAGAATTGCTTCACCTTGTAAACATGCTGGTGAAGGAAGCCAGCCACAGAGGACCACATGTTGCATGACGCGCATAAGCAATGTTCAGAAATGACAAACCCAGAGGCACAGAAAGGAGATGCATGGTTGCCTAGGACTGCTGACTGCTAATGGGCACAGAATTTCTTCTGTGGTGATGAAAATGTTCTAAAATTGATGGTGATGACAGTGATGGTTTTGGGGGATTGAGATGAGGTCTTGCTCTGTTGACCAGACTGGAGTGCAGCGGCACAATCACAGCTCACCGCAGCCTCACTCTCCAGGGCTCAAACGATCTCCCACCTCAGTTTCCTGAGTTGCTGGGACTACAGGTGCACACCATCACACTCTACTATTTTTTGTAGAGACAGGGTCTCCCTGTGTTGCCAAGGCTGGTCTTGAACTCCCGGGCTCAGCCAACCCAACCACCTCAGCCTCCCAAAGTGCTGGGATTACAGACGTGTGCCACTGTACCTGGCCAGTGGTTATAGTTGAACACCTCTGTGAATGTACTAAAAATCACTGAATGGGACACTTTAAAAGGGTGCATTGTATGGTATATAAATTATGTCTTAATAGGCCAGGTGCGGTGGCTCACACCTCTAATCCCAGCACTTTGAGAGGTCGAGGCAGGCGGATCACCTGAGATTGGGAGTTCGAGACCAGCCTGACCAACATGGAGAAAGCCCATCGCTACTAGAAATACAAAATTAGCCAGGCGTAGTGGCACATGCCTGTAATCTCAGCTACTTGGGAGGCTGAGGCAGGAGAATCGCTTGAACCCGGGAGGCAGAGTTTGCAGTGAGCCAAGATTGTACCTTTGATTGCACTCCAGCCTGGGCAACAAGAGCAAAACTCCATCTCAAAAAAAAAAAAAAAAAGAAAGAAAAGAAGAAAGAAAAGAAAATGTCTCAATAAAAGAACATTTGCTACTGAAAAGAACACTTGCTTCAACATCACAAAAAAAGATTTCTTTGGTTTAAAAAAATACACGTTGCAGATTTTAGAAGGTAAAAGTATGGATAACAAAATGTAAATATCACACATCATCTCACTAGCCAGAAAAAAACAACTGACATTTTATGTGTTTGCTGCCAACATTTTTCTATGTATATATTTTACATAGCTAACCTCACACTATGTGTACAGGTTTGCAATGAGTTACATTTAATATTCAATCATGATCCTCTTCTCGTATCATTAGAGACTTTCTGAGAATAAACTATTATGTGAGACTTCAATATATATTGGTGTGCCATCATCAACCTACTATGGGTTGAGTATCCCTTATCCAAAACATTTGGGAACAGAAGCATTTTGGAGATCAGATTTTTTCGTATTTTGGAATATTTGCATTATATCTACCGATCGTGGCTCCCCAATCCAGAAGTCCAAAATCCAAAATGCTCCAATGAGCATTTCCTCGGAGCCTCATGTCAGCATGCAAAAGTTTCTGAACTTGGAGCACCGTGGATTTTAGATTTTCAAATCAAGGATGTTCAACCCGTACTCTATGTTATGCAATTAAGTTTTTTCCTATTTAGTAAAAATAACATTGCAATAAGCATCTTTATGTGTTAATCTTCACCTTTCAGATGATTTCCTTCAGAGGTTTTTGTAGAAGCGTGACTACCTTCTACCATCAGGGTCCACTGGACATGAGGTTTGGGTTTCTTTTCTGAGCAGTTCTAACTATTTGTAAGCACTGCTACTTCATGATTTCTATTTTTTTCCTTGGAAGCTTTTCAAAAATTCATTCTACTTTACAATTTCCATGAGTCCACTGGGCCCTTTTAAAAAATCAAAGATGCAACAGGTGATGTTGGTGATCTTATTTTTCTAACATGCTGAAGCACTTTACTATTTTATCATCCTAAGAATTATTTCATCACTACTGGTCAATTATTGGCACCTATGATTTTTTAAAAGACTAAGAAAGCAGGAGAATGGTAAAAGATCACCTAAGATAGTATAATTGTGAAATAAATCATCACTATGACATCATCCATCAGTTCTCACTGCACTGCCCAAAGAATTGCATCACTTTCAAAAAGGGATAAAAGAAGTTATCTCTGCAGGGTTTTGGTTTCTTTTTTTGTTGTTGTTGTTGTTGTTGTTGTTGTTGTTGTTGTTGTTGTTGTTTTACTTTCATGGAACACTTGAGAAATCAGTTTTTCATTTTCCATCCATAATAGCAAAAAAAAAGAAACAAAGAAAGAAAGCTGACAGGGGAAGGCATCTCATGGGGAGGTGAATGCAGAGAGACAGCAGTTCTCTACAGCCTAATGATGATGGAGAAAATGATCTTGAGGGTGACGTCTCAGATGATGAGGTTTCCATGACCATATCCTAGATGAAATTCAGGATCAAAGACTGAGCAATATATTTCAAAAGACAAAAAGGCAATGTGATATTCTCATCCTGTTAATCATTTAACAGGCATTCATTAAACAGGACGAACACCATCATCCAATATTTTATGACAAGAACACAGATTGTCCTATTTTGCTAAAATTATACATGACAATATTTTTTCACTTTTTATGATGTTTATGCATCAAATTTGCTTGAAACAGCTCACAGGTAGACAAATGCTAAAACAGCTCATAGGCAGACAAATACTGAAAGCAGGTGACTTTTTGGAGTTAGGTCCATGTACAGAAAACCTGAACTGTCCATATTTTGCTACATTACTAAGGACAACTACCTGACTCTATTGTAACAGCTAACATTTTTACATTACAGCAACAATTTTTACATTACTAAGGAAAACTACCTGACTCTATTATACAGCTAATATTTATTAAGCACGTACCATGTACTACATGCTACCAAGAAGACTTTACATCATCTAATTTAATCCTTCCCACAACCTTAGGAAGCAAATACTATTCTATCCCCATTTCAAAAAGGAAGACACCCAAAACACATGGAAATTACTTAATTTGCTAAGGATACAATGCACCAAACGGCAGGGCTGGGATTTGAACCTGGGAAGTTTGGCTCCAAAATCTATGTTCTTAACTCCCTTTCAGGTGCATTTTTTCCAACAATAAAATAAAGTCAACCCATCATTTCTGAGCTCCCCCCTCCCTGTCTGCTCACTTCTTCCTATGAATGGTACACAGTATACACATTCACTCTAAAGAACCACCTGAAACGTTCAAGAAGCACTCCTCTTGCACAGTAACAGCTTCAGACAGGGCAATGAGGCCCCAGTATGGGACCAACCCAGCCACAGTGACGTATTCTGAGCATTTCACAAGGCTCCTTAACAGCTTTGAGATCTGAATCCCTTTAAAAATCTAGCAGAAGTTATGGAATCCTATCCATGCATGTGCAGATTTTAAAGAAAATTTCATGGGGTTCATGCCCTAAAGCCTGTTCACAGCTCCCAAATTCCCACATTGCCCCTAGTTTATTGAAACCAAGCCTTTATATCCCTACACAGAAATTCCAGTCAATGAAGGCACATGTATGAACCAATAAATTAAATTCACTCACACTGACAATCTAAATGTGACTGAGCCTATTGAAAACCCAGTCGATTCACTAACACTTCCATCTCTTCATTAGTTTTTCTTTCATCAAAATCAGTGAGTCAACAACCATGGCATTCATTCATTCATTCATTCAAGATGAAGTCTTGCTCTGTCACCCAGGCTGGAGTGCAGGGGTGCAATCTCAGCTCACTGCAACCTCCACCTCCCAGGTTCAAGTTATTCTCCTGCCTCCACCCCGCGAGTAGCTAGGACTACAGGTGCCTGCCACCATGCCTGCCTAATTTTTATATTTTTAGTAGAGAGGGGGTTTCGCAATGTTGGCCAGGCTAGTCTCAAACTCCTGACCTCAGGTGACCCGCCTGCCTCTGCCTCTCAAAGTGCTGGGACTACAGGTGTGAGCCACCGCACCTGGCCACAACAACCATTGCTTTTATTTTGCTTTTGCCAGTAAGACATATCTCATTACAGGCATTTTAAGAAACTTAGAAGCAGATAATTCACAAGAACTGGTCCTAAGAGGAGAAGCTGGCAGACCCAAGCTCTTTGATATCTAACACAGAAGATCCTCTGGCCTTATATAAATCAATAGGCCACTGCTGATGATATTTTCTGAGTATGACCACATGGCATTGTCCATATGATTCAAGTAGGATCGCTTAACATTGTGACCAAAAGCTCCACTTTCACAAATGACCTTTTCAAAGGAGGTTCGAACAGCCTGCTTAATTAGAAGTTTATATTTAGAAACAGTGTTGGCAAGAAAGTCTCCCTCCCTTCCTGTTACCTGAGAACACTACGTGAAACCCTCAAGGAAAAACTATGATGGAAAAGGGTGACTGGTCAGCACATCTCTGAAATCTGCAAGGGAATTCACCCCTGGGGAATAATCACAGGCATGTGATTCAGGGAAAGCCTGAGACATGTTCATCACATGAACACCAACACCCAAAAGCCTGGTTTTTACAGTGTTAACCTTGAACACGAGCAGCGAAGTTTTTTGTTTTTTTTTTTTTTTTTTTTTTTTTGAGATGGAGTCTCGCTCTGTTGCCCAGGTTGGAGTACTGGAGTACAATGGCACCATCTCAGCTAACTGCAAGCTCCACCTCCTGGGTTCAAGCTATTCTCCTGCCTCAGCCTCCTAAGCAGCTGGAATTGCAGGCGCCTGCCACCATGCCCAGCTAATTTTTATATTTTTAGTAAAAATGGGGTTTTGTCGTGTTGGCCAGGCTGGTCTCAAACTCCTGACCTCAGGTGATCCACCCACCTCGGCCTCCCAAAGGGCTGGGATTACAGGCATGAGCCACCACACCCAGCTGAGGAGCAGCATCTTAAAGGGATCTTGGCAACCCGTGCAAACTTTAAAGAAAAGTTAGGAACAAATTATGAATA